TTTTTTTTTTTTTTTGTATTGGAGATCAAACTCAGGACCTGGCTCTTAAAAAGCAGGCAGCGGAACCACTGAGCTAAATCCCCAGTTCCAAAATTATTTTCAAACTTTTTGTGGGCGGATACAAGGGATTGAACTCGGGTCCTTGTGCTTGCAAGGCAGGCGGCAAAACCACTGAGCTAAATCCCTGGCTTTATGTTTTTTTCTGTAGTGTAATTGATTCTAACAGTATTTATCAGCACATTAATTGCTTTTTTTGGAGTTCCCTATGCTGCCATTTTTGGTGTTGTCGCTCCTGAGGTTGTGATTTTTCAGAATGATACTGTTAGCTAGAAATAAGAAAGGTGGAAGAGGGAATGTTGATTTTTGAGTACAGGAAGCATTATTTTGTTTGGACATGATTGTTGGGGCTAAGGTCTTAATGATACATTCTGTTAGTGTTTAGTAACGGTTGGAATTCTGGTGCTTGAATTCCAGAATGAGCTTAGAGCTACAAAGAAATCTGAGAAATTTGTATATAGATGTTAGAATGAAAATTAAGAATTTCTTGAAAGGGGCCAGGGATTTAGCTCAGTGGTTCGGTGGCCTGCCTCGCAAGTGCGAGGACCCAAGTTTGATCCCTGGTACCAAAAAAACAAACAAAAAAAAGAATTTCTTGAAAGATAAGATCCCCAGTCCTGGGGGGAACAATTTTTTTTTTCTTGAGAGGTGAAAGCTAAGTAGGCAGTTTGGAAACACTTTTAATTAAGAAAACATTCAGTTGGGCGTGATGGCTCATGCCTGTAATCCCAACACTCGGGAGGCTGAGGCAGGAGGAGGATCGCTCTGAGTTCGAGACCAGTCTGGGCTACATAGTGAGTTCCAGATTAGTCTCAACTACATATTAAGACCCTGTCTCAAAAAAAAATTAATTAAGAAAACATTCACTTATATATTCAGAGACTGTGTTCCTACTACAAATGTACTTGGTATTAATGCTAAGTAAGCACTGGAAATAGAAAAAAAACTAGTTGTCTGTCCTCAGTAAGTTTATTTTTATATTAAGGAAAACAGCCAAGTAAACAAGTGCAGTGCCCTTTTATAATAAAAGGGTGTACAGAAATCCAGACATAAGTATATAAGAATATTTAAATAGAAAACAGGAGGCATAGAAGTCAGAGAAGGAGAAAACATAATGAATGGAGTAGTGGTCTGGGGCCTTGGTTACCATGTGAAAATAATGAGAAGGCTGAGGTCTCTGAAACATACTACTTTGGCAGTAAGAGGGCAGTACAATTTTCATAAGGTAGGTTTTAGTTGAGTAGTTGAGATAGAAAATCAGATTATAGAGGGAGTGGCAAAAAAATTGAAAAAGGAGAAGACAACTTTAGGTGCAGGGCCACTGTGCTAAATCCCTGACCTGAGAAGACAACTTTTAAAAAACTGATATATCTTAAAAAGAATAGCAAAGTTAAAGCCAGTTTATTTTGGAGTAGAAGAGGTTCTCATGTGTTTTTCTCTGTTCTCATGTCAGACACTGACAGGACTAAATAGGAGAAAAACAAAGATAGTGAACAGTCCTGAAAGAGTCAGAAAAGATGATTCTAAAAACCTAGAAAGATCAGGGTTTGAGGACTGAGCTGCCTAAAGAAAGAGAATGAGATTAATGAGAAAAAATTTTGAGATAGGAGGAGCTTGAGAAGTTTAACCAGGAAAAGTCTTAGTTTTCCAGGTAAAGCAAAACAGAATCAACATGCTAAGTCATTGGCAGTCTTGAAAATACATGACTGAACTTCAGGTAGCATACATTTGTGATGATAGTACTGTTTGATAATTTATTCATCTCTTTTAACCAGTACATATTAAGCATTTTCTGTATACTAAGCACTGCATAGGGTCCTTGGGATTATGTCTGTGGACAAAGTAAGCGAAATTCTCAGCCCTTGTGGAGGTTATATGTGAATGGCATCAAGAGAGACAAATAACTAAATTATTTTAAAATAAACATATGAGAGGCAGGGATTTAGCTCAGTGGTTCTACCGCTTGGCCTTGCAAGCACAAGGTCCTGAGTGTGATCCCCAGTAGGAAAAAAAATAACTAAAATTAAAAATAAATACATAAACATATAAATAGAGCTATTTGGGTCTAGAAAGTGAAAAAGTAAATGAGAAGATAACCCAGATGTAACTATAATTTTATATTGCATATGTACTTCTAATTTAAGTCAGTTTTATTTTTTATATAGATTAATAAACTATGACCAAGGCAGATGTGGTTTTGTTGGAAGCTTTGTGTACTTAATATTGTAGCTATGAGATAAATAATATATATTAACATTTAAGAGAAAATCAGTTTAAGGCCATTTTGTAGTTAGTTATTTCAAGGTGTTTGTCCAGAGAAAAGTTGTGAAGGTAAAGTCTCATATAACTGAAAATCTTTATTTGATTATGGAAAAAGAATTTGTGTCTGTTTCCAAAAAGATGGTTGCAGACATAAATTTGTTATCTACATGTAAAGGCTTAAACTATATAGACTAGAAGATCTTTGTATAATAGAAATTAGGTTTTCTGTGTTTATACTCATTGTTTTTGTATTCTCTTTTTTTTAGTGAATATACAATTTATTTAACATTCAAACTTCATTAAGACATGTGCAATATGGCAGTTTTACTGGGGGTTTAACCCTGCCTAGGATATGATTACTTGCTGGGGTTTAGCAACAGGGTCTAGTTCATTGTTTTGTATTATGATTGCCTTATTTTTATTTAAACAGGCATTGGAAAAGTGAAAAGAAAACCTAGTGTTCCAGATTCTGCGTCTCCTGCTGATGACAGTTTTGTTGACCCAGGAGAACGTCTTTATGACCTCAACATGCCTGCCTATGTGAAATTTAACTACATGGCTGAGAGAGAAGATGAATTATCATTGATAAAAGGAACAAAAGTGATTGTCATGGAGAAATGCAGTGATGGGTGGTGGCGGGGTAGCTACAATGGACAAATTGGATGGTTCCCTTCAAACTATGTAACTGAAGAAGGTGACAGTCCTTTGGGTGACCATGTGGGATCACTGTCAGAGAAATTAGCAGCGGTTGTCAGTAACCTAAATACTGGGCAAGTGTTGCATGTGGTACAGGCTCTTTACCCATTCAGTTCATCCAATGATGAAGAACTTAATTTTGAGAAAGGCGACGTAATGGATGTTATTGAAAAGCCAGAAAATGACCCGGAGTGGTGGAAATGCAGGAAGATCAATGGTATGGTTGGTCTGGTGCCAAAAAACTACGTTACCATTATGCAGAATAACTCATTAACTTCAAGTTTTGAACCACCACCTCCGCAATGTGATTATATTAGGCCTTCACTTACTGGAAAATTTGCTGGCAATCCTTGGTATTATGGCAAAGTTACCAGACATCAAGCAGAAATGGCATTAAATGAAAGGGGACATGAAGGAGATTTTCTCATCCGTGATAGCGAATCTTCGGTAAGTTGATCTTCAAAGGTAAATTAAAAAGAAGATTGGAGAAGATTTTAATGGGTATTAAAGAGAAGATTGGGGGCCAGGGATTTAGCTCAGTGGTTCTGCCACCTACTTTGCAAGCACAAGGACCCAAGTTTGATCTCTGGTACAAAAAAAAAAAAAAGCAGATTGGATGGCCAGAGGTTAGCTCAGTGGCACTGTGCCTGCCTTATAAGCACAAGGTAAAAAAAATTGTTTTAACCCGAAAAAAAAAAAAAAAAAAAAAAAAAAAAAGATTGGAGAGGTTAAATGCCTTCCTTGAAGTTAGCCAAGTTGTAAGCTGGAACATACGCATGAATGTTCTGAAGTTAAAGTCAGTGTTCTTTATAAGTGTATCTACTTTAAGTAAAAGATGGCTGCCATGGTGTATTGGTCACATTCTCAACTCTGGGATAAAAAACCTCATATACACAACTTAAGAGGTTTATTTTTTTCTCTCATGGTTTCAGAGGGTTCCCTTCGTGGTTGGCTGGCTCCAAGATAGAAGCAGCATGGTGGAAGGGTGTAGTAAAAGAAAGCTGCCCTACCCATGGCTGCTAGGAAGCAGAGACAGAGGAAGAACCAGAGGGAAGAGAGACTCTTCAGAGGCATGCCCCCCCGCGTTCCACCTCCAGTCAGGCCCCAGCTCCTAGGAACATATTCAGCTAGGAACTGATCATTGAATTAATCCACTGATCAGTATAGCATTCCCATTAGCCAGTCACCTTCCAAAAGCCTGAACACATGAGACTTTTGGACATTTTAAGTTGCAACCATAACGAGCAGTGATACCATACTGGGATATTTGGCCTTACCCAATTATCTTGATTTTGCTTTCCTTGAATATTTTCTGTTCCAGTAAGCTGAAAAATGGAGAAAATGGAAGTTGGCTTCTTTATTAAAAATAGAATAATGCAGTAGATTAAATTAGGAAAACATGTCTTAAATTGTTATTAGATGATATATATATAAAAGATAATCACTGTAGTTCTTACAGGGAATCCCTAAATTAAAAAATTTATATTCAAGTTTCTTCTTAAATTGGTTGTTTGGAAGTTGAAATACACTTTAATTATATACTTCAGAAACCTATTTTAGGGCCGGATTTAGCTCAGTGTTTCCTCTGGCTGCCTTGCAAGTGCAATGTCCTGAGTTCGATCCCTGGTTCCAAAAAGACAAAAACAAAAAACCTTTTTAATACTGTGTTTGAAATCGAGTTGTAGTGAGAGGTAAATTACATTGCAGTGCTAATAAACTAAAACCGTGAAAAATGAATAATATAGCTGGTGTCTTGAGTATTGTCTAGGATACTGAAATTTGATGCTACTTATTTCCCTTAAAAATTGCCTTTGATAAATATTGCCACACTGTACTTTTTCACTTGTCATGATTAGTACTGTCTTTATGTGAATGTAGTTGTACAAAAATGAATATGTATTACACAAAAGATTGAAAGTCAAAAATTATAGCAAGACAGATTGAGATTAATGTCCTGATAGGAATCTTGGGGAGATGGGGCCTGTAGCTAACTCCTCAGAATGGCAGGTGGTTAGTAATAGGGAAGAGTATTGTTGTTTGAAACTTTGAGTAAATAAATAAAAAGAGGCTTATGTCCAGACTTCAGATTTCTCTTTTAAAATTGAAAGAACTGCTGCCAGTATGAAATCCTGTTTCTGCAAGGCAACATTCACAAATGAAAAGTGTTCAGTTTCTTTAGATTGGCCATACACTGTCAACCCCTCTGTCCTATTTACATTATTCTTTTGGTTCTTGTTGGTATTTGAGTTTGTGAACCACTATTAGAGTTTAGATTCTTACTTGTGTATCCTTTATATTTGATAATTCAGAGTACTATTTCTAAGTCAGATACTGTTAGCTGCAAATTGAAGGGGAGTAGTATGAATGACTGGTATTTTCTCAGGTGTTCAGTAGTCTGCCTGGAGAGAAGAAAACTTTTGTTCCTTAGATATTAAAGGATTTGCTGTAGTTGTGCTGTGGCCAGTACGGGTGTTAAGAAACTCTTTAAATATATGTATTAATGCAGGTTTGAATCCTGCCTTTGTTGTTAACTAGATGGATGATACTGGACTAGTTAGTTTCTTTGAGCCTGAGTTTTTGCAACTGTAAAAAAGGTTTGTTTTGAGGGATGAAGGAGTTAATCTGTAAATAATTTAGCATAGTGCCTAGTATTTAGTACTCAGATTCTAACAGTTATCAGTTTAATATAAAAATGCTTTCAAATGTTTATGGCTTTCAAAATGTTTACTGTCATTTTTTTTTTTTTTTCTCTTTTAGCCAAATGATTTTTCAGTATCACTAAAAGCACAAGGGAAAAACAAGCATTTTAAAGTCCAGCTAAAAGAGACCTTCTACTGCATTGGGCAGCGTAAATTCAGCACCATGGAAGAACTTGTAGAACATTACAAAAAGGCACCAATTTTTACAAGTGAACAAGGAGAAAAGTTATATCTTGTCAAACATTTATCATGATACTGCTAATCAGAAGTGACTGTTAATACAGCTTATTCCTCATGTCATTGAAGACTGAGAAAATGTTGGTCCAATCCTGCTTGATTGGAAATTGCTGTTTCTAACTCTGTATGAGAATTGATCATAATACATAAATATTTTTGTTATCATTCAGCCCATACACACACATATATATATATATATATATAAGCAATGCCTCAGCGTAGAACAATTTCTTATCCTTGGTCTTTTATTCTTTTCTTTGCTGTTTTTCTCTTTGCTTCTAATATTAAGGTTTTATATTTTGAGAAAAAAAAATCAAATAATGCAGATCAGAAATCTGTATGGAAGAATTCCTCTATTGCCTTCCTTGTATTTCCTTATAAAGACCCCTGCTAGTTCTGCCATAGTTTCTCTTCATATAAAATTATATCTATATATGACATATGCTAAAGTAAATTTCTTGGAAAGTGTTATCTTTTCTGTGACTAAATAGCAATAATAAATGGAAAATTAGAAATTATTTTCAGGTTATTGTTTTTGTCACCACCCATTGTAAATAACCAAATAGGTTGTATATGCCATTTTTAAAAAATGTCTTCATTGTCTGCAGTGTACTACAAAACAAATGGGACATAAGTTAGAAAACATGTTATACAATTTTATTTATAGTTGAAACAAAAATCTCTAAATTCTTAAATATTTTCTTTGGTGCTTTTTTTGCATCTCATTGTTCAAGAGAGTTTTTGAGACACTGAACTTTTAAAACAAACAGTAAGGGATACTGTAGTGCTTTTTCCTCAAGTGTTATTTTACCAGAGTTTCTTGTATTTGTACATGTTATGTTTATGTCAGTGTGAAAAAAGTTATGGCCAAGTTTTGGGGAATTAGGCAATGGGGTATATGAATTTTTTCCCCCTCCCAAACATACATCAGTCATTGTAAGCGATAATGATATTTCCTATTTCCATTTCCCTCTTTCAGCTTTTTTTTAAAGATGTGGGGGATTGAAGCCTGGCAAACACTCTGCCATGAGCTACATTCCTAGCCCCTCCTTATTTTAGTTTTGTTTTGTTGATTGGGACACTAAAATTAATATATGTGCCTAATGGAAAAAGGAAATTTGCCTATGATTAGATAAAATTGAATTATTTAAAAAGTCATATTTTTGTTTACCAAGTAGGAGTTTTAGTGTATGAATGAGAGAATTGAGGCTACTTCTACAGGCCACAGAAGAAAACTAGTTATATTTTATGGTCACACTTTTCATTAATTTGGAAATTTAAATTTACACAAAGAAATCATCAATATTTTACTTAAGTATTAAAACCATATAATTAGTAAACAATGGAAAATCATATATTTTCAAAAATATCCCCAGTGCTGCCCAAGCATGTAAATATTTGTACTCTTTGCGTAAAGACATTTAATTCACCAGAACTACTGATTATAAAATTTAATGTGTGGTTTATGAAGGTTTTTTTTTATCATTTTAATTTTTATTATTTAAATCTTAAATCATTAAAAGACTAAAGTTACCACTGGGTGGCAGTCCTCCCTTCTCCCAGTAAACAACAGGAGTTAGCAAATAAGACATTTGGTGTAACAAATTTCACCTTTATAGCATCTGCTTTTAAAGCTTTTTAGTTCATATTTCAGTATCTGAGTATTCCTTTGTTTAGTACGGTAATTATTAGATAACTTTCAGGAAATAAACGTTACATATCTTACCTTGTTGCTGCAAAAGTCATATGAATACAGAAGAAAACAGTTTAAAAGTGATTGTAGAATGATTGGTAAGCAACTTTTTATTTTTAACATATATTTGATGATGATGGTATGGTTTCTTTTTATTTTCTCTTTGTGGTTCCCCAATCTTCTTTCTGAAAAAAAATATCTAAAAGGAGCAATTATTACCTCATGTCACAAAAGTGAGCTATTTATAGCAAACCCTTGCTGAGCTGATATTAATAAAGCAGAAATTTGAGAAAGTAGCTAGGAATAGTGTAGCGCTGGAAGCAGAATGCATGTTCCTGTGCAATAATGAGATTTATTGTAGAGTCAGTCTGGTGGCACACCTATAACCCCAGCACTTAGGCAGAGCCAGGAATATCGCTGAGTTCATTGCCAGCCTGGGCTACATGGCTCTATAGTGAGTTCAAGCCCAGCCTGAACTACATAGTAAGCTGTTTCAAAAAAACAAACTATTGTAGCTGTAGAGTTCCAGATATGTGTTAATATCTATTATCTTCTCATTTGTGGAATAAAAACCTTAGTGGGAACTACTTTGTACTTAAGCATTTTTTTTAAGCGTTAAACCAGTTCTTAAACTAATGGCTATTTTTATAAGCATGTATGTTATTTGAAGCAGTTTTGTTCAGAATTGGAACAACTTTATAGAATAGCTACATAGCTAGGTAGTAGTAGGACTTACATTCCCATTCTGGTGTGTATATCATGACATTATTGCTCTGTGTGTGCTAGTCTTAAGACTAGGAAGGTCCTGGAAAAAGTATCACAGAAGTTTACTGCATATAAGGGGCTTAGTTACCAAATTTAAGTGTACATAGCACATGTAATCCCTCCCAGCCACTTCTACAAATAACATGTCCAAAATCTTTGAAATTTTTTAGAATATATGCATAAACATATGTATATATTTAATAACAAAAGCAATTACTATGATAACCCTTATTTGACCATAAATCCTTAAGGTTCAGACAATATAGTCACAAATTTATGACACAAAGCATACTATATACAGTTTAGCACAAGCACCTAACACCTCTAAAAGCTTTCACAGGTCATTAAACAAAATAGGAAAGCCATTGCCATTGCTAGAATAGGAAAGCTTGTTTTAGAATAAGGTCATCCTTATACATAAATGGCATGTAGATTATTTCTAGCTGTTGTAATGCCTTATCACGTAATCCAGCAATAGCAAAGAAGCAAGGTCAGTGTGTACTACAGTACCTTTCTGAAAATTAGGGAAAAACGTGTTCCTTCTGGCAGACCTAGCACTTTTTTCCAAGAAGTCTGAAATTTACAGCCCCACCTCTTGGCAGGTTCTTTGTTCAGGTTACAACCAAACAATGGCCTTACACGGGAATACTGTGCAACCTATGCAGTGCTGAAGCTTAGTGTGGTGGTGGTAGTGCCTATAGTCCAAGATACTCAAGAGGCTGAGGCAAGAGGATCCTTTGAACCCAGAAGTTCAGGCCAGCCTGAGCAACATGGTTAAAACCCATTAAAAAAAAAGTTAACATTTTAAAGTTGGGGAAATTTCACATAAAATTCAGTTGTGGTTTTCTTTTAAAAACGAGAAGCTGGTAACACTAAAAGCGAATTCCTGTAAGTTAGCTATCAGATGGACCTAATACAGATGATAACTATTTTTACCAATGTACCTGCTGCAAAAATTTACAGTATCATACAGTCTGTCTCCCAACCCTTATAGCATCCCCTAGTTTATGTCTCTAATGGAGTTATTCCCCGTCCTGTTACATGGAGCATTTTTGGCTTGGAAGCTGCTAATTCTCACTTTTCAGAAACAAGATGCGTTATCCAAATCAACCAATTAGGAATGTAGCTTTATAACATGCTTCAACTTTTCCATCACAAATCTTTGCTAGGAAGTAGGGGAGTCCTTTGTAATCTTGCATAGATCGATCTTTTAGTAGTTTCAAATTCACAACTGTGGACACTTTCCTAAGGGACGTTGAGGATAGGATAGATAATAGCCTTCTTTTGTGTTTTGAACAGCATTCTGTGGACTTAATGGGAGATTACTGATGGGCATTGTTTGGTTTATTGGTAGGAAAGGTTGGCTTGCTCCTGATAAGCTGATTCTGTTGGTATTTAGCAGGTTTGTGTGACTCAATACTGCCATATTCTAAACTGACAAGACAAGCAAAATATGCACGCTCCACACCCTGATTTCTTGCTGTTACATGATCTAGCTGACAAGAATTGAAATGTATATTTCTAGTTTACTTATGAGGTCCTCTTGGTTTGAAAGTGTACATGTTGTAAGACTTGTCTAATGAGTAGAACAAATGGATTGCTGTTTTGAAAAGCAAGAAGAAAAGTTTAGGTTATCATTAGCCATGTTCACAGATGTGTTTTAAACCAAAGTGTCTTTGAGAATAGTTTGCTGTCTAGAGTAATTTCCTTATATCACATATTTCAGAATTGGCCTGCCTGATGCCTACAGTGGCTTAGCACAAACATTTAAGTTACCTGCAGAATTGACTGATTTTTAAATGTTTCCATTCAAATTACTTAAAGCACGTGGATAGCTGGTCTCGGTTATTTTGGAATAATGTTGCAATTTTTATTTGTAATTATAATAGGCACAGTACTCAGTTCCCTCTTTCAGTATTTTTGTTTTGTTCCTCGTGGAATAAGTGACTTTCAAACAGGCAAATGTTATTAGTAGCTACTTTAAAACAGATATAAAAGTTAATGTATTTTGTTGCTTTAAGTAAACTTTAGGTTCAGATAATGTACATCTTAGACTATGGAGAAATGTCTCTAGAAAGGGACTGCCAGGTGTTAAAGACAGGAATAGTTATTTGTATTTTCAAGCATTTAGGAAGTTAGCATTCCCTGAGTACTAAAATTTGCAGAGAAAGTCATGTCAAACAAACTTGTTTTGATATGTTTTCTGGATTACAGATAGACCCGAGGTATGTTATAGAAAACACACTAATTTCATCTGGGGATATGATAATTACTTGGTGTCAAAATGAAAAAAAATTTTGAACTGTTGTAGTTTAGATCTTGAATGTGCTCAAAGGCCTCTTGTTGAAGGCTTAGTCCCCAGCCTGTAGCACTTCTCCATTGTGGTGGAACCTTTAGGAAGTGGCCATCTAATAGAAGGAAGTTAAGTCACTGGGGGCATGCCCTTGGAGGAGCTATTGTTACTTGTTTCCCTCCTCTCTCCTCTCTGCTTGCTGGACTCTGTATGTTCCTGCTGTGATGTACTGTCCCACCACAGGCTCAAAATGCCCAGGCCAAGTGATTGGGCCGAAATCTTTTGAAGCTGTGAGCCAAAAACCTTTCCTTCTTTTAAATTGATTCTCTGAGGTATTTAGGTATTTTTGTCCAAGTAACAGAAAGCTAACCAGCACAGCTGTTCTGTCATTGTATATCTGCATGTTTAAATAGCTGTTGGAGATACT